CAATAGATCAGCCCCACTGTCTCCGTGGGTGGGTGCACCCCTCGTGGTCCTGACTTCTTTGCTCATATTTTCCCTCCTTCTGCTCCTCCTTGGGACCTTGGGAGCTCAGTCAAGATTCTTAACCTAACACCATTGTGACAGAGCTAATCATTTGCATGGTTCAATGCTTCAAACCATGTCTGTTTCTTTGTGGGGAGAGGGGATCAGCTGAACTCTCAGCAAGAAGCATGGCAGTGGACGCAGCACGGAAACGGGGCTGAGTTAGCAGGGGCAAGCAGAGAGGACACACTCGACGGTAATTGTGGTCAGTCTGGCTGGAGCTTAGAGCTGACCAGGTCCTGTAGCCCAGCCCTGCCTGGGGAGGCTCCAGATGACAGGTGAGTGTAGGGGCAGTGTGCAGATGTTCTCGCAGCTGGGCTCACACTGCAGTAAGGTACAAAGCTCTACTGAAAAGGTCTAGAGTCTCTGACTGTTCTCCTGCAGCTTCAGCGTCCTCCTGCCTGTTCCCCCCTCTACAGGATGAGAACCCTATCTGTTAATCTTCTTTACAGGGGGGGTATAAAACACTCTCAACTTCCCTGAGAAGTATTGTTTGTCTCAGTCTTTTGACTTGGCACCAGCCTTATCAGATCTCAAAAAACACTAAAAATGATAATGACAAGAAGCAAGCAGTGATTTCTGATATTATGTGATTTCCTGGTAAAGGCCATGGGGCTTTCAAGTACCTCTCTATCCCAGATGCAGGGGGCAGATATTTAGAATTCTTCGTGCCTGTAATGACACACAGCTAAGACTGATGTGAGTTGTAGTTGTCATGACCTTCAGTGGTTGTGAGCAAGCATCGCCAAGGAAAGTGGAGCCTGTAGACATTAAGAGGCTGGCAAATGCTGGTTAGATAAGTAGGATGGGTTTTGTCTGCTTCATGAAACAGTGGGGAGAACCCACTGTTTACAGAGGGTTTTTTTTTTTTTTAAACACTCCAAGAACATTGAGTGAAATAGTAATGACTTGTTAGGGGCACAGCAGTTGTCTCTTTTTCCTATCGCTGTGATAAAGCAATGCCAGGAGCCAGACAACATATGAGAGAAAGTGCTTACTTTGGGGCTTCCAGTTTCTGAGGGTTGACTCCATGATCATCCTGGCTGCAGGCAGGTAGGCATGGTCCTGAACCAGTGGCTGTGAGCATATATATCTTGAGACGCAACCGTGAGGCTGAAAGAGCTAACTGAGGATGATGTAAGACTTGAAAAAATCAAAGCGCACTCCAGTGACACACTTCCTCCAATGAGACCACATAGCAGCCTCTGGAGGGCATCGCCTAACCCAAGTTATAGGGACTTTCAGTCTTGATAATGAAAAGTGGAAGTGACTCATGATGCAAAAGAGGGGACTCAGAGAAGAAATTTACTTAAGAAACCTAACTAGGTGGTTGGTAGGTGTGTGCCTATGTTTTCTAAACTTCCAAGCACTTGGGAAGACTACATTCCACACCCGTCTCACACACCACAGTGTGTGTAACATCAATCCAAAGCCAACAGTGATTACCCGAATCAATCCCTAACGGGTATCTTTGGGATTTATATGGATACAGGAAACCAAGTCACTGTTTGAGACTTGAGTTCTGGACTCCACACAGTTGACTCCAGAGATAATGCTGCAAACGACAATACTGTGACCCTAAGGACCAGTTACGGAGTGAAAGAATGATTGCGGAGGTGAAAACACATGGCTGCTGATCATCTGGAGGCAAATCTGCCCCATCCTGCATTGGATTTCCATTTATAATCGGTGGTCTTGGGATAGCAGCTTCCATGACCTTTCTGCTTGTTCTGTGCATTTCTTGCATCCAGCATGAATGAAACAACATGCAGGTCTTTTAAATCAACACGCACGCCATCACTTTCCCTACCTACACAGTATGAACCTGAACAATGCCGGGCCCAGAATTTGAAAACTCAGCTTCAGCTTTTCTGTCCATCCCCAGGGATGGTCAAGCAGGGATGGCGGTGTGGGCAGAGGCTAGTCACAACAAAGGGAAGCTGGAGTGCCTGGCTCCTCTTGTGGGTAGGTCTTCATGGAGTACTTTTTTTGTGTGTTCTTGTAACACCAGATAAACCGATATTTCAATGTTCGTATAGAAAATACAAATGCCCGAGCTTAAAGAAATGGCTCCTATCCTGTGCCGTTGTGCGCCATTAGTGCCTCTGCTGCTTTCAATTAGCATGGGTAATTGGAAGTTTGCTTTGGTTGCTTTCGCAGAATCTTTTCCTCAGTGAGCTGAGCTCAACCACATTGTTTAATTTAACGGTGTCGCCCTGTTCATTCATCCCCTTATCCATTCTTTCACTCATTCAGAAAGGTTTCATGGAACATCCTTGCTCTGCACATTCTCTAACAGGAAGCTTTCACTCTAACAGGTCTGATACGAACACAGATAATGCCTTTCTAGAGAACATAAAAAAATGCTTCTTGAGTGATAACCGATAACATCTTTAGTATTTCATGTTGATAAATGTACTTCTCATTGAACTACATATTAGGAATCGGGCCTTGGTGGTAGGGTGGACCTTGGAGGGATGTCCTGGAGGAAGGCATAAAGCAGGAGATAAATTCAAGAGGGTTTTAATCTCCAGTCTTTCTGTTTTGCACCTTGATAACGTTAGGTATGACTGTTCTCATTGTCAGTGATTACCTGTACTGCAGAAAGAAGAAACCTTGATCCCATAAAGAGACCCCACATGCAGGGCTGGGGTTCAGCCACACTGCGCCAGGGCTCTCACCCTTGGCAATCTTCTCTGTTTTCCAGGTCAAGTCCCTGCTGCTGTTGATATTGGGGCTTGCCATCCTGAGGGAGGTAACAGCTCAGAAGAAACCCATAGCAAGGGCTCTTGTCTCCCAGAATGCTGGGAACTGCCCTCCTCTGGAGGATAACAGTGTGAGAGTTGATCTCCGCATCTTCAATCGAAACCAGGGTGTTTCTGTCTCACATGACTTCCAGAACCGCTCCACCTCCCCGTGGGATTACAAGTAAGTCAGGGAAGAAATACACATACATACATACA